ACCTAACCTGTATTTATCATCAGTCAAAAATGCCTAGTACCTAGACCTACCACAAATCGCGACCTCGAAAGTATCGTAACGACTGTAACGGGAGCATCAACGTCAATAGCTACCGATCAAAGCGCGATGCTACGTACTTACCAGTTCCAGTTCCTAGTGTTCGCGACCGACGAAAACTCTACCCTACAAACGCTTTAGCAGTCGCGCAACCACTGGCACTGTAGCGAAGTACGTCGCGGTATAGGTCGTTACCAGTTCCAATTACATCTCTTGGCGACAGACGAAGCGGCCGAGATCGCGCGATGCTACGTACTTACCAGTTCCAATTGCTACTGTTCGCGATTGACGAAGTCGCGACCCTAAGTTACTGCGTCCGAGCTTAATCCAAGAGCGATTATAAATAATTTATTTGCAAATTATAAATGATTTACAGTTTCGTCGTTCTTCAGTAACAGGTTCCTAATTCGTTGTGGAGCGTGACACGGCGTTACTAAAAAATAACTAACCAAAATCGCGTTACTTAAATACCAACACATCACTGGTTTTACGAAAACGTAAGCAACGTTTGCGAAAACCGTAATCTTTTATTTTCAACAATACCAAATGTACCCGGTAACAACACACACCAGTGCACTTCCATTTACAAATTATATCTCACACTCTCAGAAATAATATCGGCGAATCATAAACTTCAAAATTATGAAATACTACTATAAACATTTTAATCCTCAATATTTATTGTAAAGTAGATGTTAAGTAGATGTTATATAAACATGAAAAGCGATATGAAGAGTAACGTGCATTAATTATAAATACAGTAAAATTCTGCTGAGTACGTTATATGCATATTCTATTGACTTTTATCCGGGTCGCCCAGGCTCATCCCTTTGCCACGGATGTAAATTTTAACGAGAATTTTCAGTCTAAAAATAAACAAAAATTGAATAACGTGTATTTCCTAGCAACGTATTAATTAAAATATTAAAAATAACATTTTAGTAAACAAAATTTTATTAATATTTAGTTAAAAATATATACTCACATTAGTTACGAATTAATTAGTACTGTTAATATATATTTTTTGCTAAACCGTGCTATCGCATAATTAACATAATATAATTCATTATATTGACACTTAGATCTTCTAACTCAATGGCCCCAATAGACATAGTAATTGAAGAAAGAATGGAAAGGCAAGAACATTCAGGAAGAACAGCGGAAGAAAGTAGAAATAGAGTTTTTGAAATATGGTGTTAAAGATATGGAGTGAAAACAGAAATGGGAAAGGTAAATGCACTAGAGCACTATAAATAGAGAATATGGAGAACTGAGCTATGCCATGAGCCAATTTCTTTCTGGTCACTGTTGTTTCAGGTATTACCTTTATAAATTAAAGTTAATTGATAGCCCGAGATGTCTCTATGGCGACTCCAATGCTGATACGGTGGAGCATACCCTTTTGGAATGTAACCGATAGACAGCTGAACGAAGAGTGCTATACAAAATCTAAGAGTCGATAAAATTAAGATTTCCGATCTAGTTCCAGAGATGATTTGATCCCCAGAAAACTGGATTAGTGTTCACACTTTTATGGAGACACTAATAGATATAAAAAAGAAAGAAGCTAGACGAAGTAACTAAAACATCACAGTAGAACCACCTCCTCGAAAAGTAATACCAAAAGATAGTTCCCCAGGGAAATACTCAAAGCAGCTTTTAGTCGGTAAGGTACCCCAACACCCCGACAGTACCGCAAACGGTCTCTGGTTTGCAGATTTTTTCACTACAAAAAAAATCATATATAACCCAAATTTCAACTTTCAATTTGCTGAAATCATAATTTTACAAATAAGATTACGCTTTTGTTAATTTTCCATAAGTTTTATTTTGTATCTCAAAAACTATTAGAGATTGATATAGGATGGTATAGACAAATAAAAATACTATGTATTAAAAGTACTAGTGAACTACAATAACAAAGTTAATGAAAGTAATTTAAAAAAAATATAAGACATAAAACTCCAACCTACTAATATCACCGTGAATCACCCTGTATAATAATGAAACGATGCCGAGAAAGCGTAATAATAGTTGCTTTTAGCTTTTAACGCAGCATTTAAAACTGGAGACCCTTTCTGTATTATAATATGCCTAATTAATGCTTAACCATGTCTTCTTAATTAATTGTAGTAAAGCATTGTTTTAATTGCTCTTTGTCCGTATTACGTGCCATTTTGTTTTATGTTATATCAAATATAAAGGTAGATATTTAAATATGAATGAAAGAGAAAAAAATGATTACAGACAGTGCAAAGAGATAAGTTAAATTTATATAAATAACTTTGGCAGAAAATATGCGCTAGCCTAATTTGGAAAAACCCCATTGGTAAATAGCGTTATTAGTATATGAACAAGTAGGTTATTAGTATGTGAAGCAAAACATCGATGTTTACCGTTGATATTTTACTATTGTAAACTATTACTATATCGATATTTTTCTAACACTAATGTCTAATAATAATCGCGTTTCAAAGTTGCAAAAACAATTAAACATGCCTGCATTGAGATTTTGGTTTTCAGGCTAGTATTTACATAAAAATTATTGCAATGGGTCTCCTTGTCGTACAAATAATTAGTTGACAACATGGAAGTAGCTATTACATTGTTCTAGGGGGATTGAAATACTAGTAAATAGAATACATCATAAACATTTCCTTCAGTTTCTTTCTCAAATTCGAATGAGTGGACATCCAGGGGGGGGGGGGGCACGGCCCTCCCCTGCCTCCCCTTCACTTGGTCTTGTCTTATCACTGAAATGATATCATGTCTTGTCTTATCACTGAAATTCCATAAAAAGCCTATCAACAAATTCCAAAAATACGTTGTTGCTTTAACAAAAAAAAACCTGTTCAGCAAATTTTAAAGATGTAGCCAAAACAGGAATATTACTATTGTCAATTCGCTTTTGCTTGTTGGGCTGTTCAGTGATAACTTTTATTAAGTGCATAAAGTGTGAGAATGATATTATTTTCATTTATGGAGAGGTTGGAAAGTGCGCACGTAGGCATTGGTTTTCAATGAGAGAAATCAAAATCGTGAAGTAAGTCACAGATATGTGCTGGATTTGGTGGCAAAGTTCTCCGAAACTGGTTCGGTGAGTAATAGAGAAAGAAATAACCTACGAGTGATGAATGAAGGAGCTCAAATTTAGGTTTTAGGATTATTTGCTGCAGAGCCCACCAGCTCCTTGCGGACAGTAGGACTACAGATAGGAATATCACACGAGACTGTAAGAAAAAACAATGAAAATGCATAAATTCCATCCATACAAAATGCAGATACTTCAAGGACTTTCTAATAATTGATGATTTTGATAGAATAGAATTTTGTGACATCTAGAGTCGTCAAGTCAACGCCAACCCGAACATGAATGAATCCGATGAATGTTCAATTTTTCTAAATGGAAATGTTAACAAACAAAATTTTCGATATTGGAGTGACGAAAACCCGCATATTTTTTGAGAAGGACATACACAATATCTCCAAAAAGTTAGTGTTTGGGCTGGTATTCTTGGAAATGCTATTATTGGTGCTTTATTTATTGAAGGAAACCTGACAGCGGTGATCTGTATCTTAATATGCTTCAAGATACTATTAATCCTCTTATCACCCAAGAGCTAGAAACTCAAATTTATGCAGAGGGTAATCCGGTGGTAAGGAGGATTTGTTAACATTCCAGCAGGACGGTGCTCCGCCTCATTATTTTCTTCCGGTCCGCAGTAGCAGTAGCAAATCGAGAGATTTCCGGGTACGTGGATTAGCAAAAGGGGACCAATTGAATAGCCTCCAAGATTACTGGATTCTATACGCTTAGACTTCTTTCTTTGGGGACATCTTAAACCCATTGTTTATAAAATACAACTTACTGATATTGATGCACTTAAAAGGCGACTTGCAGCAGAATGCCGGTCAATTACCGGTGAAGGTTTCCGAAATGTTAGGGAGGAGTTTGAAAACAGAAATTATTATTGTTTACGGAAAAATGGACAATTATTTTGAACAACTTATAAGATGTGGGTGTAAGTGGTGTAACCTAGTCTTCTAATGATTTGTACTACAATGAGATCCATTGAAAAAAAAATGTGTAAACACAACCCTGAAAACCAAAGTCTCAACGCAGGCATGTTTGATTGTTTCTGCAACTTTGAAACGCGATTATTCGGAAACCTCTAAACAAAAAGCAACAAAGTAGAATACCACTGAAAAGAGAACTAAACGCCCTTTAAAACGATATGCCACTTGACCCCATTCCCATTTAAGATTGTAAGAGAAGCATCTTCCCCCCCCCCCCAAAGGGGTTTGAAAGGAAAAGCTTAAAATATTCATTTAAGTGCCCCCTTACAAAGAAAATTGACGTGTCTTTCCGATTTTTCATATTTTTAACTGCAAGAAAAATATTAAGGGTGGGAAGTTTTAAAATTGACACAGTGCATAGTGAACTTTATATAAACTTGATTACAATGGTGTTTTGGTCAGCTTTCAAATGTAAAAGCTGAAGCGATAAGAAAGACTGGCTCTTTCTTATCGTTTCGTATCGTAAAACAGTTCATTCAATTATCTGCACTCAACCTTTTTAGTGTTTTCATATTTAATTTCTTAATTATTTTTCTGATATTATATTTCTTCATTACTTTTGTATCTTTTTTGAACGTTTCCATACGTTTTTTTACGTTAGAGCAGCATCCAACATAGGCGTAGGCGAATAATTCCTCTTAAAGAAACAGAATGTGTGAAGTGTGACTGTGTCCTTATTTTATTAGTTGCTTTTAATATTAAGTTGATGATCTTGAAAATTAACCAAAAAACTGTAAGGGCTGATTTTCTGTTTGTAAGTTTTTACGAATTTTGGATAACTTTCAAGATCATCCCATAATAACACTGAAACAACCAAAGTGTAAGATTTTAGTCATCAAACATAAATACAATCCTAAATTACTTACCCTCGAATGGCGGTAATCGTATTCCCTAGGATCCCTGGCCCTTGTCGACTCCTCGTTCCGTCTGTAAACTAATTCGTCGAACTTCTGTCGGTCTTCGATCGCTACTATTTCCCTTAATTCGGTCATGAGCGTGTACTGGAAATTAACAAAACAAAACAGCGTTCAATTAACATACAACAGAATTGATTGCGCTGAACTATTGTGGTTTCAGAACTAACTTAAGCAAAACTTGTGGGCTCTATTATTAATTTGGTTCAATATTAGTAAACACGGAATATTCAAATAATTTCATTTACCTCAAAATATTTAATACATTTATTTATTATATAATTGATTTTACTTTGTCTGGAATTACGGTAAGAAGCATTTTAAAAAAACAAAGCCGGAAACAGCACTACAAGAGAAAAAGTGCATCTACCAGGTAGAATGTAGAATGTTTAAGAGGGGAGCTAATCACTGCGACCTTATAGATCTATGTTGTGTGTTCTTGAGTTATAACGAGTTATAACTCATCATACAGTCTCAGGGCTTTAACAAAAGTCAGTATCTGAGACGGTTCCACAGAGGCCAGCTCTCCATCCTCAACATCAGCCGTACCAAAGTTCATGGCACGAATGGTCGTCGTCTCGGAGCACTCAGTGATAAGATGTTCTGGTTCCCCATTTTCCCCACAGAATCTGCATTCGCCGTTGTTTCTCAGCTTCAGCCTACTGAGGTGTTCGTTAAGGAGACAGTGTTCTGTTAGAAACCCCGTGACAATCCGAAGATTGTTTTTACTTAAATCAAGGAAAACCTTTGATTTTTCTCGGTCGTAAGTTCTGAGGAACTTTTTCGAGTGTCTTAGACCGTTGGAGGACACCTATTCCAAGCTACGGATGGAGTCTTCCAGATTCTTCAGTTCCGCTTTCAGTTGGTTCCCGTTTGGAAAACAGAACGGTTCTGGTCCAGTTAGTACAATGTTCGCTTCTTTCCTAGCTAGATCATTTGCTTTTTCATTGCCTTCTATCTCTTGGTGAGCAGGCACCCAGAGTAGGAGGACTTTATTTTCTTTGCTTAATTTGTTGAGCTTCTTTGGCATTCTTTGACCAACTTCGAATTAATGGTTACTGAGTTGATCGCGTTAAGTGCTGCTTGACTATTGGATAGGATGGCAATTTCCTGTTTTCGATAGTTCCTATCTAAGATAAATTGTACGCATCTTTTGATAGCGTAAATTTCTGCCTGAAGGATACTGGGGTAGGTGCCCATTGGTTCGGAGTATTTAGTTTTCGGCCCAACTACTCCTATCCCTGTCACTGCTTTGGTTTTGGAAGCATCAGTATACCACGTTATGGTATGGTCTTTTATATGCTGAGTAAGGCGTTTCTTTCTTCCCAATCCTTTTTATTACTCAATACTACAGTGTTTCTCAAAGTTGTAAATTCTTGGTGTGTCATCCACTGGGAGTTGGAGAAGTGGAATTTTCCTTTTGAGGGTGTTCCAAGCCCCTGACCTGAAAATTCTCCCAGTACTGTTTCCGGCTATACCAGCTACTGTTATCTACCTACCGTGAGTAGTTGAAGAGCAAATTTTCTAAATGCATTTTGTCCATTTTTTAAGATTTTAAACCAAGGTGGTATTGCAAACTACATATATTACATTATGTCAGAAACGACTATCTAAATCCATTTTATCCAATTCGAATTAAATGGGGAAAATACCTTTGACTTTCTATGTCCATTGGCGGGAGACAAACAAACAGAACTATGTCCTTGTGTCTAGTGGATTTACTGCTATTTGTTATTGCAAAATAATGAATGTAACTACGACTGGGGATCATGTAGTAGATGACACAGACCGTGGTAGCAGAAAAAGAAAGAAAAATCTCACGACTAAAAGTCAGTCAACAGTTTTTTCAATTTTTTTCAGATATTATCATAAGTAGGTTTTTGTGTTATGTAGGAGATATACTAATTTTATGATTTTTTATCCATTTTTCAAGTAAACTAGTTTTTCGGTAAAATTCTTTCACAGAGCTTAGCAGTTTTTCTTTGCCAAAATTTGGCCAAAAAATGGACTAAACGCTTCTACACTCAGATGCAAGAAAATCGCAACGGAGAAAATTTTGGTCAAATTTAAAGTGTTATATTTTTGTTGTTTTTAGCCCTATTTTCATGATTTTTTTAGCAAACTGTATATTATTATATCAACTCTAATTCGTAAACTAAGTTTTTTTTTATAAACTTTAGTATTTAGCATATTATACAGGGTTAATCGGGGGATTGGTTTTTTACCTTAACTTTAAAACACCCTGTGCAATAATTTCGCGTGTAAATTTTCCTAAAATATAATTTTACGGCCAGAACCATGACTCCTGAGCATTTTGTTTTTTGATTCATGTCAATACATGCTTTGGTTAATTTTTAAGAGCGAAATGAACTGATCACGATCAATTTGCAATTTTTTCAATTATCATTACATTTTGATGTAATTTTTTAATATGATGAGTTGGATTTGGTGCCTATTGTCGTAACGGCGTATTACGCTGCATTGGATACTCTATACTAAATTAAAAAAAAACGTTAAAGACTAACGATACTGTCCTGGTTTTAATAAACATTAATAACGATAACAACAAAAACAAAAATTGTAAAAAATACCCTAATATTTTGTATTGCCTCCCTTGGCTGATATAATTGCCTGTATACGTCCAATAATACTGTCATTAAGGCTGCATATACCATACTGCGTTATGCTTTCTCATTCTTCTTTAAGAACCTAACGAAGTTCATTTAGTGAAGCTGGTACAGCTTCGCGACCTCTAATCCTCCTGCCAACCATTTCCCAAACGTCGAACATGATGGTCAGTTCATAGTAGCATATAGTTCACAATAATCACCAAAGCGGCCTTGTCATATTGAAAAATTACTTCAAAAAGAAATGATCATTGAAAAAATCGCAAATTGTTGGTGGCAAGTTCATTTCGCTCTTAAAAATTAACTAGAGCATGTATTGACATGATCCAAAAAAAAATGCTTAGGAGACATGGTTCTGACCGTAAAATTATATTCTAGGTGTTTTAAAGCTAAAAAAGGGTAAAAAAACAACCCTTCCATTAACCCTGTATAATATGCCAAATACTAAAGTTTATAAAAAAACTTAGTTTACGAATTAAAGTTGACATAATTATATACAGTTTGCTAAAAAATTAATGAAAATAGGGCTAAGAATAACAAAAATATAACACTTTAAATTTGACCTAAAATTTCTCCGTTGCGTGTTTTTTGCATCTGAGTGTAGAAAGACTGCTCTTCAGTCAGAACTGGAAAGTCATTGACGAAACCGTCCTCTAAATCTGCGATTTAACAAACATACAAAAAACATACGCGAGAGGAGAAACAATGAGGTCCAAATGATGAATGTGGTCTAAGCAGAATGGAGCCTCATTGGAAAAAGCGTAAATTTAAAAAAGCAGTTTTTATATCAAGCAAGAACAACCTCATTAGCAATTCAAATCTGGAAATTTCCACAATCTGAAAAAGACTTAAAAAATGTAATAATTCTGATGTCCTATGTAGATAAACTCACGCTTGCCTGCAATCAACTCCATTACGGACAAATTTTTTGCTTTAATGCCTAAACTTAGTAATTTAAGATTTCATTTAGTTTACACACGATACATCTAATCAAACATTTCAAAATTAAAGGCTATATTTGATATCAATTAAACTTTTAGTTACGTAATCGGGAAAGAGGTAGTAATGTCCCTTAAGTACTGTTAAGAAGGTGAGTTTTGTTAATGTAAATAATAACTGTTTATATATTTATAATTAATTTATTTTTGTTTCCTAAAATATTTTGATTAAAAGAAAATCTATAAAAGTGAGCAACGCTGTGCCGGTCTAGTTTAATCAAGTGACTAAAAATTTATTTGATATGAACTGTATGTCAGTCTAGGAAGATATTTTGTTTCATTATGCGTGATTGTCTATAACTTTTAATTAAAATTTACATTGTTGCTCAGTTGCTATAAGGTGCTCCGTGTCGTTGAAGGAAAGACAGCTACCGTCTGACGTGTTCTAGAAGTCATAATTGGTTCGAATTATTTAAGTAAAAAATTAAACTAAAATAACTTACCTTATCGGGTGTATTTAGTAATTCAGTCATACACTCAACGAAGGCATCTATGGTCATATGTCTGGCAGCGTACTCGTCCGTATAGTAGACAAGGGCTCCGAACTCGGGTCGGCTCAACAATATTCGAGCTTTTTCCTCAACAGCTTGCAGAGCTGCAGCCCACTTTCTAGTAGCCCACGAGGCTGCGGCTAATCGACTACTGCAAAAATCCGAAAAATAATAGATATTACGTTATTTAATTTAATAGTATATTACATACCGAGGAGGGAAGTGTTTCATTACTGTCGAGAGATTAACTAAATCTCGAGGCAATAATGAAAACTTTCCTCTGAGGTTTGTATACTATTTTATTTACAACCACATCATTAATTAAACGTTCTCTAACCCAGTGTAAGTACATATTATCAAAGCAAAACCTTTGAAGGCGGGTAAACTATAGGACAATAACTCACAATCTTTAAGTTGTTAAATTAAATTTTAATGCTTAAAAAAGCAAGAGGGGCGACATGTTTCGGAATGTTCACATTATCACAGAAACATTCTTTTAAGACGAACGTCCATTCTCGTCAAAAATTAAAATATAAAATCGAAATAAGATGGTATGGAGGGTATAGAGATTATGATATAGACATTTATTTGGTATTACAACGAAAGGCTTCCTTCTTGAAGAGTTATACAATTTATAATTACAATGAATGAGTTGTGTAAATGTTAACAACTGTAACTAATTTTATTTCTTCCGAGTGGTTGTACTTCCTAGGTGACTTTTGTCTTTGGGCCTGATGATGGGAATAGTTTAAATTCCCGAAACATGTCGTCCCCCTTGCTTTTTTTAGCATTAAAATTTAAATTAAACAACTTAAAGATTGTGAGTTATTGTCCTTTTACCCGCCTTCAAAGGTTTTGCATTGACATCATTAATTAAAAAGTAGGGACAGTATTTTATTTTGAAAAAAATAAATAAATATGCGAAAATTTGTCGTTTTCTGTTTTGGCATTTCCATATCTATAGTTACCGGTACCAGTGGTTGTTATGGCGCAAACCTTCAACAGCAAAACAAACCACTAGCTGACAGTTTTTAATTTCTCGTTCGCTTTTTCGAATTTATATATCATAGAAAGCCAGAATATTGTCGAAAAGTTCTGATAATAAAGACTACTTTAATATTAGCACTCCACCAGAAGTTACAGAAGCTGCAAAAAGAGCAGAAGCCAGTTTACTTCCAGAGAAAAGTAGGGAGCGATATGAAATAGCATTGAAAGTATACGAAAAATGGTGTGCCGAAGGAAATGCTAAGAATATTGCTTCGAAGACAGTCTTGATGGCATATTTTAGCGACATGGCAAGGCAGAAAAAGCCATCTACTCTTTGGGCTACGTACAGCATGATAAGGGCAATGCTAGAATTAAGGGGAAAGACAAAATATCACAAATTCGTCGCTTTTTTAAAACGCCAGAATGTAGGTTTTAAGCCAAAAAAGTCTAGCATTTTTACCAGGCAAAACTTGGAGGATTTTCTCACGAAAGCACCTCAAGAATTCCTTCCTATTAAAGTAAGGCTTTTTTTTAAATGTTTTCTTTTTCTGTTTTTAAATATTTCTTTTCATTGTTTTAGGTTGCACTTATAGTAGGTGTGTCTGGGGCGTGTCGAAGTGATGAGCAAATGAAGATGAAAACTATGCATATTGATATTTTATAAAACAAAATTTGCATAGAAATTCCCGATACAAAAACTTACAAGAGCAGATCATTTATGATAACTAACACAAGTTGATAGAAATTGTAAAAGAATTTATACATTTACGAAAAGATATTGAAAATGAGAAATTTTTTGTTCAGTATCGATTAGGAAAAGCTCAAAATCAACCCTTTGGATAGAATTCTATATTTAAATTTCCGTACAAAATTGCTAGCTTTTTGAAACTTCCCAATGCGAAAACACAGGTCATGCTTTTAGACGAACAGCGGCTATATTGCTGGTAAATAGTGGAGCTGATATTTTACAGCTGAAGCGTCTATCAGTGCTGTGACTGAGGGTTATGTGGATGCATCTGTAGCCAACCAAACTAAAACCGCAAATATGATATCTTGAACGACATCATTGCCATCGTCTTCCTGTAGCAATTTAAACTCTTTACCTTCTTTCGTTGACATTAGAAGACCTGGCACAAGTCAGGAGTTAAGTTTTTGTAGCAGTGAAACCTCAATGAGTGAAACACATTATCAGGCCCTTAATAATATCGATTAACAATAAGTCAAGTTTGACCATTGATTTCAACAAATAAATGTATTAAAATCTTCAATTATTATTGTTAATCTTCTTGTTTATTTTTGTTGTTTTTTTCTTGAATATTGTGCTTAATTAAGGCGAGAAATGAGAAAAACCGAGTGGGGGAAATGGGTGAGGGAAATGGATGAGGGAAATGAAAGAGGGAAGAAATGTAGATAATTTGACACTTGCATGAGACGAGATATTTTTTCCAAATAGTAGATACCGAGATATGATTTTTTTTCTATTAATAAGGAAAAAATAGAAAACTGAAAGGCAGAGGACTTTTCTATTAGAGGTCTATTTTGAGGTGTCTACCAACCCTTTTTCCAGAGTATAAAGTGAAAAAAAATAGTCGGATTTTTTTACCCACCCTTGGTTCCTACATATGTCTAATAAAGACTGAATCAAAGATACTGCATTTCCAATCTTTAAGCAGGTAGTTTTATTCATGAATATTCCATAACTCCTACAGTTAATATTTGACTTACCCTGGACTACAAAGATCGAAGTCTCTATCATAGGCGGTGCACGAGTGTGGTACTTTGCCTACATCCCTTACCACCAGTGACATCCGTTTGTGGTACTTCAGTTGTGCAACAGCCTCATCATGCGTCACGTCCATGAACGATTGACCGTTCACTTCTAGAATTTGATCGCCAACCTACAATAAAAATATACCTATTGAGCAAATTACCTATTATCTTAACTGATTTTATTGAGTTAGTTGACAGTTTCTATAACTGATACTTAAATCACTAACAATTCAAACTCTTTTTCTTTTTAATTTTCAACTGTAGAATTTACTAACTAAATTTTAATTTTTTTATTTTATATTTTATGAAATATCGTTTAAAAAATGATTGAGATTAGCGCTTTACATGTCGTAATGTGCCCAACAGGCGCAGTATCAAAAAAAAACAAAGATGACCCGTTAGTACTGAATAAACTGTAATAATAGTTTTATTTTTATGTCAGTTATGTACCTGTAATGTCGATAACTATACATGGTGTCTCAAATTTGAACTTAGTCACTGGGATTTTGAAAACTAGAAGAAATGTGAGGTCGGTTGAATGAAGGCATGCACAATTTGATGCTGAGCAAAATTCCACCTTCAAAGTTTAAACAATCCGAATACTTCCGAAGGTTTTTAAAAATGAATGAATTTATGAATTTTAAGAGTTTTTGAGGTCCCAAAGTCAATGATGTATCGCATTTCTTCGAAAAATTCATATTATATTAATAATTTTCTGGTCAAATGTTACCAAAAAATTTGTCAATTACTGCCATCTCCACAGACAGCCAAAGACAATCGGAGGTCAATACTAAACTAGTGTGTGATGCTGAGTATTTGTTGAGTTAGATTAGATTAGATCTCTAGAGGTGGCTATCGGCCTGATCCACTGCGACTTTTTCAGATCTATTGTGGTCCTCTTCTAATCCTTAGGTTACATTCTCCAGTCCTATCCTTTTCACAAAGTCTAGCAACTTGGAGACTGAACCCTCCATATAGTTCCCTGGCAATGGCCTATTATTGCCTATTACCGAGACCGCACATTTGCCAGGTTATCGAACCGACATAGAATGTGTTCTGTCGTTTCCTCTTGAGATTGGCAGAACCTGCACATGGCTTCGTACGTCAACCCCATTACTTAGCCAACGCCCTGTTAGTAGACTCAGTACAGCTTTTACTTATAAGGTCTACCGTGCATTTTGGCGAATGTTCTACTATGAACTTTTCTGCCTGTCTCTACCCTGGTGAGTCTCTCCACCATTCTAGAGATTTGTTTGCCACCCATCGTTCCGTATGCTGTGTGTAACAAAAAGGCAGATGAAATTGCCACACAAGGCTCATCAATGCCATTCATTAGCCCAGAACCCTTCAGCGGCGTTGCAAATGCAGTCACAAGAATGGTCACAAAACGGTGGGTAAAACAAATGTCTAGAATGATGCATAAACTCACCAGAAATTCACGACAGGGCTGATAATTACAGACAAAAAGACAGTCACAACTGTAGTAGGTCTACTAACAGGGCATTGTAAGCCTATGGGTATCTAAAGCTAATTATAGGATTATATAGAATCGTAGCCATGTGTAGAAACGATAGAACATATGTCGGTGCTGTAACTTGGCAAATGTGCGGTTCTTTTATCAGGCAATTGATTAGTCTAAAAAATTGTGGTGTGATTCCTCATGTGTTCTTAAAACAATTTTTATATAACCATTGGGTCTAAAGTACTTCCTTTCTGATCTACAGGGTGTTAAAAATTAAAAAAAAAAATCGATATTTTGCTTAACATAAATGGTACACTACTGCTTTTTTAAAGAAAATATATTTTTTTCTTGACTGGCCACCCTTTTTCAACAAAATTGATCTTTTGAGTTTTTCTTGTTCATCAAACGGTTGCCGAGAAAAAAATAAATATACTTATTAAGAGCCCGCCTGAAGCCGTTTTCTAACGATTTTTTATTTTTTAGATTAATTAGGAAACACCCTGTATATGCATATCACAGGCAACCAAATAAACTAGTAACCTCTAAAAATTATTTTTCCTACCACTTGCGACATACCGTGTTTTTAGTGAGTACTAAATTATTTTATCAAAATTTCACCATATAAGTTTCCAGGCAATGATTATGGCAAATATCATTGACAAATATCATTGACAAGTGCATCATTGATTTTGCGACCACAAGAGCTTTTAAAATCCGCAATAAAAAATCCAAGGCCGAATTTAATTAAAGAAATACATACATTTCTAGTGTATATTTATTTTTTTTTCTGGGTTTATACTTTAAATAGACAACTAAATTAACACCATTACACCATATACAGGGTGGTCCAAATTGTATTCCGGAAACTTCGGCACCATATTCTGCACATAAAAATAAGTAAAAAAGTTCGTATAAACTTATGTCCTAAAATGCTTCATTTCGGAGAAACAGGATGTAGAAGTTTCATTTTTATTTCGATTTTTTCGAAATAATCTTTACTTAATATAATTAACTAATGTCGGTATTTGGATGAAAATTGATACGTAGGGGTTTTTTAACATGAGAAATTTGATTTCGATGTCAATATGACTCCTACTTATAGAGGGAGCCACCTACATGTTTTTTTACTGTTTTGAAGAGTATTAACTTTTCGTCCGTCCCTGTATTAGACTACTGAGTGAAAAAATATACATTTACGCCTGATTTTACGTAAAAAATGTTTCTTGTTAAAAATCGCTGCGAGCAACCGTTCTCAAGATATCTGGAATGGAAATAGTCAATACATGCAATAAATTGACAAAAATTACACGTGTTGACTGGATAGTTATTAGTCTGAAATAATATACTTGCAATGTTTTTGTGCCAAAAGTTTAACAGAAACTGTTTTATCTTATTTTTTTCTAAAAAAACTCATGATTAGTTTAAAAAACCAAAAGTTCACAAATTTATCTCTTTTTTTATCATATAGTCAATATATCTATTTTTTGTCAATAATGATATGTATTGACTATTTCCATTCCAAATATCTTAAAAACAGTTGGTAGTACCGATTTTTACCAAGAGACTTTTTTACGTAAAAAATTACGGAAATGTAATATTCTTTCACTCAGTAGTTTTATACAGATACGGACAAAAAGTTATTATTCTTCAAATCAGTTACAAAAGATGCAGGTAGCGCCCCCTACAAGTAAGAGTCATATTGACATCGAAATCAAATTTCTCATGTTAAAAAACCTCCAGAAGCTAATTTCCATCCAAATACCGAATTTAGTTCAGAAATTATTAGGAAAAAATCGAAATAAAAATGAAACTTCTGCATCCTGTATCTCCAAAACGAAGCATTTTAGGACATAAGTTTATACCAACTTTTTTCGAAGAAAATCGTAAATCTTAAACTTCCTTTTTACTACCCCAGAGTTTAACAGGACATAACATAAATATTCAAAGCTTTTAATGGAAACTTAAAGCGTAGAAACTATACGTTAATGAACAATAAAAATGTCGCTACTTCTATTTCTTAAACAAACTTATAGCGAGTAGTTCGCCTTTGTTCTAATAGGATCGTAATTTTAATTAGAAATTTAACTGACCGAAAATTGCTATATAAATTATCCGAATAAAAAATCTTTACTGCTTTTTGTAATATACGTCACATCACTTACACACATATTTTACAGTTAAATTGCGGTATTTTTTCTAACTTTATGACCATTTATTTTAATTTTTTTACGCATTACCTATTAAACTATTTTTACCATTTATTTTTGTTCTACAAAAATCGATTAGTTAAATATCGATAATGATTGATAATTAACTAATGGCCATTGGAGAGAGAGTCCACGGTACTCAAAACTATACTTCGTAAATATTTCACGATTACTAAGGTTACCTAATGATTAGGATGGTCTTGAGGTGACCAAAAATGTTTCCTAAAGATATCATCCGCTGCGGGCAAGCTGGCAACGCTGAGAAAATTCATCATGGCATTCCGGAATCAACCAACGTGATTGATGGAGATGCTCATATGTTTTGTTGCCAGGCGCATAACGTTTTCCTTTAGGCCAATGCCAGTGCTACCCTCTATTTTATACCTTTCCCTGGAAACAGTAGAAATATTGACTACATTTCCGTGATTTTTTACATAAAAAATGTCTCTTGGTAAAATAGCTACGAGCAACCATTCTCAATATATTTAGAATAGAAATAGTCAATACAATGTCATTATTGACAAAAAATAAACATGTAGTACATGATAAATTTGGGAACTTTTTATTTTTTTAAATTAATCATAAATTATTCTTGGGAAAAATGATGATAAAACAGTTTCTATTAAACTTTTGGGACAAAAACATTTCAAATTTGTGATTTCAGTCTAGTAACTATTTAGTCAGCATGTTTAATTTCTATTAATGATTACAGGTATTGATAATTTCGGTTCCAAATATCTCGAGAACTATTATTCTAGTGATTACTACCAAAAGACTTTTTTTACGTAAAAAACGTTTCAAATGTAGATTTTTTACTCAGTAGTTTTATACAGATGCGGACGAAAAGTTATTACTCTTCAAAGCAGTTAAAACACATGTAGGTGGCGCCTTCTACAAATAGGAGTCATATTGACATCAAAATCAAATTTCTCATGGCAAAAAACACCCAGACACCAATTTTCATCCAAATATTAACGTTACTTCAGAAATTTTTTGGAAAAAATCGAAATAAAAATGAAGCTTCTACGCCCTGTATCTCCGAAACTAAGCATTTTAGGACGGGATTAGGATTTTTAGGATTTATACGAACTTTTTTGTTTCCGGAATACATATATACCCTGTATATTACAATATACAATATTAAAAAAAATAAACTAATAAATTATCCAACATAATGTTAAAAAATTAACAAATTAAAACAGATAACATATTAAGTCGGAGTGAGAGAAATGCGACGGTGTGCTGTTGCGGCGTTGCCGGTACGCCCTTCCCTATCAAGTAAAGGAAAATAACGATGGCAAACCGCTTATTTAAAAAAAAAAATTCGAAAAGATAACTAGATAAAATCATTAGATATGTTTCTGAGCATCTGAAATGGAATTATAAGGATATCGTTAAAGTGTCCATTTTTTTTAATAACGAGAAAACGTCAGTAATCGCGATAACTTAAAAACTCAGCATTTTAACACATAACCTGCCATAGCTTAAGAATCACTTTAGATATTAAAACTTTTGTTTATTTTTAAGATCGAAAGGTTGTTTTTTCCATTCAAAAATTTTAAACAATGCATTCATTTAATTTTAGTGGATAGCAATTTTCAGCAATCGTGTAGATAACTTTTTATTTATAATGCAAAGAAAATATAGCAGAAATGTTACGAAAGTTTTTGAAAAAAACTACAATCAATTATTTCTAATAGATTTCGAGATATCGACTTTTGAATTTAGAGTTCTAATAGCGCGACCACTGTCGAACACCAACTCAATTCCATTTATTTTTACTGCAAATGCAAGTGTTTCTAACTTGCACTTAAAAATTTTCAAGCTATAGGGACAATTACAACGACTCGTTAATAAATAAACAAATAATAAAGTATCACGAGGCGTAATTAAATTGTGAAGTTGAACGCATGATGTACACCTTTCCCTAGAACCCTAAGTACTGACAGAGGTACTTATTGGGTTGACCCGGTTGACCGGTCGACTGCGACAAATCTGCTATATCTCCTTCCACGTCTCTTAGCAATGCGCACATTTTCTCGGTTTATTTCATGCGTTTGGCAACGTGTTTACTGTTCTCTCTTTATTCAGTACATTATAAACGCATTATACTCTTCTTACATACGGAAATCTCGACCCAAGACTAATCTTTGCCAGCCCTTAGTAGATTTATTATGTGTCGGAGGCTAGAAAATATCGTTTTATATTGTATCTGATGGATATCAGCGAGAGATTTTTAAATTTCTTAGGTGTAATGCATTGTATAACTTTACAGCATTGCATGTAATGGAGCGACTAAAAACCGATGTTTTATGCTTTGGCATTGTGAATTTGTTTAAAAGTATTACAGGCCTTTGCACTATTAAACTTCGTGATATTAACTTCATAATTAAAAAATGTGGCTGGTGCTGAGCGAATAAACGATGAACAAAATGCAGAGGAGAGGAATTGAACCAACATTATCAAACTCAAATTCAGGAACTACATTTCAATAATAAGTGTTGTGCTTAATACTCACCATAAGCCCAGCTCTATCCGCTACTGAATCTTTATCAACTCCAGTTATGAATATGCCCAAATTGTATTCAACACCGCCTCGTATCATCAGCCCTAAACTCTGCCCAGGTTCAATGCATAGATCTACCTGTTGAAAAAAGAACAAACCAAGTTATTCAAATGTATTACGTAAATTTAAAAGCATTAATAATAAAAATGTTTTGCCACGATAAGGTTTAGACGCTTTAGAGAGTAACAAAATACATGATGATATATTAGAACCCTGGGTATACTAAGAAAGTAGTGTGGGCCTAACATTTTAGCCGATTATTATTACTTTGGGATTGTAAATTCCAGGTATTTATATTACCAAATCAATCATATCGACATTGACACTAAAGTCTATAAACCTAACTAAATGAAATTTTAGCAAAAATGTTTAAATTTGTTGTATGATTAAAGATACCGAGCAGCTCTTCATTTCACTTTATAGAGCAAATGATTGTAACAGATATTTTATTTAGATTAAAGTTGAAAAATTAATTTAAACCGAATTTTATTATCGCTATGTTGCGCCGTTTTCAGCAAGGTTGTCGTTTATTATTTGATAATTATCCTAATGTCAGTCATTATTTTATAATAATTAATAAATTAATAATTCTCGTTTTTTTTTGCCTATTTTCATAGTCTTTTTTAAAAAATTGTACATAAGCACACACAGATTTTTTAAGAACTAAATTTTCGAGTTTTTGTATTGCATTTCTTAATATTGTGTGTTGAAAATATGCCGAAGCATTTAAACAGACGAAGCAAAGAGCTTGTAGCTTCCCTGATAAACTATTTTGAACTAGAACGTGACAATAAAAGTCCTTTATTACCCTTGACTGCAGTCAGAGAAGTAAGTTTGATTGATAAGCACATTACACCATTTTTAAAGTTATTTCTACGTTAGTTTTTATTAAATTCTGTGATTATTAGTTCGTGCATTAATAGCACCCTCTTACTTGTTATTACCATAATAACGCTTAGAATAATCTTCATAAAGGACTAGTTTTTGTCAATATGTAATAAGTAAAATAAGCTATAAAACAAATAAATCAATTAATTACTAAACTATTAGTTATTAAATTAAAAATAAAACGTAAAAATCTTTAAAAGATGATATAATAAATATATTGTTTGTCACTCTTAAATTAAGATTAATTTCATAAATCCATCACAATCCGGTAGCGCTGTCGCCATCGCTTGTCACTCAAAGTTAATCAAGTGCATGGGAAATTGTTTTGCGATTACCATATACTCATCATTCAAAGAATACAAGGTATGATATTGCGTAGGTTGGTCACTACGTCATAGGTGATAAACGGCACCATTGGTCGGCAAGCTCCGCGCGCCAATTTCAAATTGTCAAAGAGTTGACACAATAAATGTGAAAATAATTTTTTAAATGTCAAGCTCGATGATTTGACATAACTTTTGGGGATTATGTCTTAATTCTTCCCTATTTTAGGTCTTTTTTTATTAGTGGCAATTGAACAATATGGATATTTTTTGTATGGCGTATGACGTCACAGGTGGTATGCAGCAAACTTAACGAAATTGGAGCCGCTATCGATCATACCTTGTTTTCTTTGTACCATGCCATATATGTACTACAATCCCAATAGTATTGTCATAGAAACAAAAAATAAACAACATTTTTTTATAAATTCCTTGCAATTACTAATTTACTACCAACCGATAAATACAGCGAAATTTATTTACGGCTTTTAATTCTCCGTAAAAGAATTTAAAATAAGTAAACAAAAATTGCATTGTGCAGTTCAATTTACTAACTAGCGAAAATCGCTTTCGTGCGTGGTATAGTCGTTTAACAATAAAATTTTATGACATACAATAATTTTACTGTACGGGTTAAGAAACTTTTAAAAGGATAAAATTTTACAAAAAAAAAATAAAATTGTTTAAAGTATCATAGTTTCTTCTTTTTATATAGGTCAAACATCACAATCGTTTAAATAGATACAAATATGATAAAAAAATAAAAAACCGCCCTACATAAACATGACAAATAAAACGGACATAATTTTAGATTCCAAGATACTAACATTTTAAAAACCGAGAAAAACCAACAAAAAAAAGTGAATTCTTGGAAAATATTTATATAAAAAATAATAAAAATTCAATAAATGATAAAATTAGACACTTAAGCAGGTTATATTACAATATTATTAATTAAAAATAAAAACAAAACAAAAAAATATAAATAGATTAATACCGGGTGCGTCTCAAAAGTGACTCACCCCTATAACTTTTTTATTTTTTCAAATAAAAAAAAACGAGATTTGGTTCGTTAGTATATGACATAAATTAGGACCGATTAACGTATTCACTATATTTTGGTCACTTCCTGTTTCAACGTAAACTTTTGATTTTTAAATGGCATGCTCGGAATTTTTTTACTTTATTCGATAGAAAATGACATTCTGAATAGAATAGCATATCATATGTCAATTTTTGACATTCTTGCTTAATAAAAAATTGTGTTTTAAAATTGAATCTAAAGTGCCATGGTTGTGTTAAAAACACTAATTCTTAGTCAAGGAGCCTTGGGAAAATAGATTTGATCGTCTAATGTTTTTAGTGTCTTGTCCTGGCCGGTTAGAAAATGCTCAAATAGTATTTTTAATCATATCTCAATTTTTTTTATGGAACAAATGGAACGAAGGTGGCTCATCAGCATATTTGGAAAAAGCATTTTTTACGAATAATTTGATACCACACGCTTAGTATTTCGAGTCAAATTTTCATTACAAACCGCAAGTTATAATTTCAAATAAACCATATGCAAAAATGTCAAAGTTGGCATATGATATGTCATTCTATTCAGAGTGTTATTTTCTATCGAATAAAGTAAAAAAATACCGAGGGTGCCATTTAAAAATCAAAAGTTGTAATCATTTCCGGTAAAACAGGAAGTGCCTAATTTATGTCATATACCTAATTTATGTCATATACTAACGTACCAAATCTCGTTTTTTTATCTGAAAAAATAAAGAAGTTATAGGGGTAAGCCATTTTGAAGACGCACCCGGTATATTAACATATCCTATATAAAAAAACGCTAAAAGATGTTAAAAATTAATCACTGGTTGGCACCAAGAAGATAGACCTCACTGCGATTTTAACTTGTATTGAGGGACATACTCGTATGTTGTATTTATAGTTTATGTTATTTTGTAAGTTAGTTTGTGTTATTGTATAACTATGTGTGTGGATTTACAATTTATGAATATGACATGTGGTAAGTCAATGTAATAAATAGTTTAATGTGTTATTTCCTGATTTTTCTTCTACCAATTGTAGAGAAACTGATGAAGACCAGTTTGTGGTCGAAACGTTTTTATAACCAAACTATTAGAAAAATATAATATTACATAGAAATAATGTCTATTATTTGCATAATTATTAATAAATAAAATTTGATATAATGATTAAGTTAAAATTGTTGATAAATATAATTACGATTGTCAGATTCACTTATTTTTGTATGCTTCAATCAGTAATTGCATGTAAATGCATCTGCTTTTATTGTCTATAATTGTTAGTAAACAATATTTAATGGCAGCCATGATTTTTCTAAAATAACATCAAAATACGTTTTCATGTATTAAGTTTTGAGTAACATAGGATGGTCCGCATTATATACATTTTCCGCAGTAATACTCACACTTGGTAGCAACTAAGAAAAAATCCAGGAACGTCATCAATATTTCGATGGTTAGACAATACCGTGCAAAATAATTCGAAATATTATTTCATAGCGAGGCTCAAGAATCAGCTCCAATCGCAAGTCGCGTCATTGATGACACTGCTGGCTTTTTTTATTTGCAACCGTTTTATTTTATACGCAGTAAGCACCCCTCAGGTAACCACCCCGTAATGTTCTACGGTAGTAATATTCACTTACTCAATTTATTTAAAAAAAAGTGTTAATTACTTTTTGTTAGGCATTATTTCACAATTTATTAGTCTATGAGACGCATATATTTAATTTTAATTTTAAACTACCGCCGTTAATAAAACAATTAGGTTTCTGTCGTTGAAAGCTTCTATTTATTAAATATTTTTGTTTGTATCTGTGTTCACCCTATTCGAATATATATTCTGTATATATTTCTTTGATTTTAAGATATCTATATTTCTATTGATTTTTACTATAAATATCAAAAAAAATAAAAAAAAAATAATATTCAAAATGTAAGATTACCAAAAATTCATATACCGGGTGCGTCTCAAAAGTGGCTCGCCTCTCTAACTTCTTTATTTTTTTCAGATAAAAAAACGAGATATGATATGGTAGTATATGACACAAATTAGGATTGATTTTGGTCACTTACTGTTTCGCCGGAAATGACTACAAATCTTTATCTTTAAATGACATTAATTTTTAATTATTTTTGACATTTTAGACATTTTTAATTATTAAATGACACCCTCGGTATTTTACTTTATTCGATAGAAAATGACACTCTAAATAGAATGACATATCATATGTCAGTTTCGATTTAAAAAAAATCGTATTTGAAATTTCAATATAAAGTGCCGTGGCTGTGTTAAAAAAACTAATTTTTATTCAAGGAGCCTTGGAAAAATAGATTTGACCATCTAATGTTATTCGTGTCTTCTCCTGGCCGGTTAAAAGGTGCCCACACTGTATGTTTAATCATATCTTAATTTTTCCAAATGGAACGAGGGTGGCTCATTAACATATTTGGAAAAAGTATTTTTTACGAATAATTTGGTACCGCACACTTCGTATTTCGAGTCAAATTATCGTTATGAACCGCATGTTACAATTTTAAATAATCCATATGAGAAAATGTCAAAAGTTGATATATGATATGTCATTCTATTCAGAGCGTCAATTTCTATCGAATAAAGTAAAAAAATACCGAGAATGCCATTTAAAAATCAAAAGTTGTAGTAATTTCCGATGAAACAGGAAGTGACCAAAAACAATTGAATAAGTCAATCAATCCTAATTTATGTCATATACTAACATACTAAATCTCGTTTTTATGTGTAAAACTAAAAAAGTTATAGAGGTGCACTATATTTCGGATAAAAAGGGATTTATACATAACT